TAGGAATTGTAGGATTGGGTTCTAAAGATATCCAGTTTCTTTTTAAACTGTTTGGAATAATAATTATACGATTTCCGGTCATCAGGATTCCTGGTTCTTTGCCAGAGGGCCCTAGAGCATCGTTTGCTATGGATAAGGTCCAATAGGTCTTGGGGTAGAGGATTTATACTGAGGTGTTTTTTGGGACGATCAGTTGAGGATGCAGTCCAAACTGCTTGCTGGATCAGGGTAGTGAAGGAGTCCACTGCATCGTCAAGGTCTTCAGGTGTTATAAACATGATACCTTTAGAAAGGAAATACAATAAAGAGTATATGGTTCAATCTAGGATACTACAGTAGGGGGTCTGTGGTATCTAACATTTAAATACATCATTAATATATTTTAAGTTGATCGGTTCCCTTCTGGGACCGATATAAATACAAATAAATGCGGTTCCTGGAACCCCTTACTCGCCGTAGAAACGCGAGGCCAGGAACATAGCATTTAAAATGGCATCCCATGTGAAGGACGTATCATTAAATTTACTATTTGTTTCTAAGATTAAAATAATTGATTTTTTAGAATTTCATTCCTATGATTAATAAAGGTGGCATTGTAATAAGTTGGTTGTGTAATGTAATGACTGTAAAACTTGATTGTTGTTGTAACGGACAAAATTTAGTTAAATTCTTTCTTGTTCTGATTTGAACGATGCTGATTCTGCGGTTCAATAATTTGTGTCAAACCACTTTTTAATATATAAAAATCTTCACCCTCCTATTTAATGGTCTTGTATTAAAAGTGGCTTGTTTATATTGCGGTTTATTATTATTGGGATATTTTTTAATTGCATTGGGAATTATTTTTATGATAGCGTTTAACCCCTTCCTAAAAGGTTAAAATAGGTATTAAATTAAAAGGGATAATATACGCACATACTTTTAAAGATGGCTCTTAGGGTAGAAACAGAAATACTACCAAAGCCTAAACGATCTGAAGCAGTAGCTGATCAGAAAACACCCAGAAAACCAGAACTGAGATCAACTGAAGAAACAGTGATTCAAATCCCGAAGAAAACCCAGCCACAGGCCAATAAGAAGATAGAGGATAATTTTAGTTTAGGAGGAAATAACATGTTTCTAATACTCCTTCAGAAAATAGAAGAAAGCAACAAAAAACTGCAAGAAAATTTAATAGACGTGATGGATGAAAGTATTAAGAATGCGAAAAGAAGCCTAATGGAATCTATAGACAGCAAAGTCACTGAAGTCATAACCGAGTTAAACAAAAAGACAGAGGCGAAAGAAGAGGTCAGCCTAGAACACCAACCAGAAGGTAATGAAAAAGTTAACAAGCTAGAAGAGAATTTGGGTGAAATCATCACCAAAAATAATGATCAGAAGACTCTCAATCCTACAAATCAAACAAATGACATTGAAAATGTTCAAGGTCGAGAGAATGAATGTCTTAAATCTGAACAGGAACCTACTGAAGTTAGTGAAGTGGATGAACCTATATTAGCCGAACCCTCCTTAGGCGAGAATAGAAAGATTAAAGAAGAATATATAGGCCCCCTAGCTTCAGTCGAACTCTCCAGAACAGAAAAGACTTCTCCGAAAGTAGAAGGAATTATAGAGGTCCAACAAGAAAACGAAGCCTCTACATTAGATCTTGAATCAGAAAATCTCGGTATAAAAGAAATCAGTGAAAAAGAGGAAGGAATTAAAGAATCTCAGAAGGAAACCTTGAAAGATTTTGTATTAGGTTCCATAAAGATCAGAGAATTCTTTTTTCAGATCGATAAGGAGACCCACGAGGTCCTAGAAATTAAAGAAGACTATATAGGCCCCCCAGCTTTAGTCGAACCATCTCCGTCTCCGAAAATAAAAGGGTTGAACGAAAAAAGATCATTACCATCAGAAACCAAGACCATTCCCATTTGTATTAAAGAAGAGGAGGGATATAAGGATTATAATTATAGGCATGCAGAATTAGAGACAATCCTCATTTGTAGTTTAGAAGATGAGGTATATAACGGTTATATGGCCCTGAACCATGTTAGGACAGGCCGGTTAAAATCTTATTTTAAGCCGCGGTAGTCTTTGTCCCATTCCAGAGGGCAAAAAGGGTTTTTTTAGCGTCCCTTCCGTTGACGAGCTAATGGGTCCTAGCGAAACCATCGTCAGGTTACCCATTCTGGAAAATTGTAAATAAATTGTATATTAGTTGTAAATATAATTTTGTAAATAGGGTGGTAGGATTTAATAACTAATTTAGACTGCTGAATGTAAGGAATCTCAGGCTGAACCGACCAAAGTAAATTTAAATTTAAGTATTCATACTAGCTTATGATAATAGTTAAATTAAAGTAGAGTTAAAACCTTTTTAATAATAGATTTGTGTTACTAAACTTTTATTAGAAAAGAAAAATGGAAGGACCGAAAATAAATCATTATTAAATAAAGGGATAAAACTTTTCATTTTAATTTAAATGTACAGTGGCCAGATTAATGGGAGTAAGATCTAGTTAAAATTATATTGGCGTAGTCCAAAATTAGCGCAGACGAGCACCCCAAATTAACTTCTTAAGAAAAAATTGGACCATTTTGTTTTTAATCCTGATAGGATTTTGTTTAAAGGAATAGGGAATAGTTACCCTCAACTAGGAGTAGACATAGGTCCTCCTCATCACCCGTCGGGTTGATAAATTTTATATAAGGGAGAACCCTTTTGATGGAGTAGCGGTAGTGCATCCATTCATCACTAAGTGTGATTGATAATAAATAATTAGGAGAAGATAAAGAAATCTTCTATAACTATACCTCCAGAGTACTGGGGTAGTATGTGTATGGATCCAGAAGTTAGATTTAAAAATTATAATGGTAAATGGGGCTGAAGTAATATATTTCATCATTATGATGTGCACACGACTACATTTGAGGCAAATTTAACGGTTTATAGCGGCCACGGTTAAGAAATGGATGATTCATTTGTAATTGAAAATCATAAGATAAGAATATTAATATTCGTTGAATAGAGTTTGTAGAATAAAGAAAACGAAGTCGCCTGAGGTTCATTCAAAATTTCAGCAAAATATAAAATAAGTACCCGATAGTGACATTAAAATGTTTTTCACGAACATTTGCCAGCCCATTGTTTAAAAAACAAGTTGTGACTTCTCCTTTTGGAGAGCTAAAGGAATATATGATTTGAAAATTTGTGAATGAAAATTAAAGGACTGTTGTAAATGATGAGAATGCTATGAGCTTCTAGACCAAGGACATGATATAAAAGTTTAAAGGTAAAAGATGGTACAAACCACATAGAAACTAAAGGTAGAGTTATTGTTTTTATTATAGCGGTTGCCACACAAGGTAGAGATAACTTGAATTCCTTTGAAGACTCTTTTTTGAGAGTATAAATAATAATTATATAACTAGTGTAAAGATAATGTGAATGTTAAAAATTCAAGGAAATGACACTATAAAATCTTGGCTAAATGAGATGTTAGTAAAGGAGGACATAGTTCAATGAGAGTAGTGTAATGAATGTCAATGTGTATATATATATATATATATATATATATATATATATATAAGTATATGTTTTGTTTTGTGTTCCACTAAACAAATAGATAAACTATAAAGAATTACGAGTAGTGGTATTGATATATTGCAGAATTGGTAAATTTGAGATATGTAAGTAAAATTGAATTACTGGTTATGTAAAAGCATATTTTTTCAATATTTCTAGTAGTTAATGGATAAGTCTGTGTATATTTGAGTTAAATCTCATCCTATATTGTTTATAAATAAATGTTTACTTTTCATTCTGAGATCAGATAGAGGAAGCCTATTGTAAAGGTATTGATGTATAATATTTAAAGAAAAAATCCAATAAACTTCAGTTTATTTTATTTTTTCTTTTCCCCAAGACTAGGAGAATGCTATGTATTGTAAAGACCGCCGGTGGAATAATTATTTTAAATTTAGAAATAAACATTATAAGTGTTCACATCTGGCGGTACCTGAATGAGGGTAACCCATTAGGACAACCTTTTGTAAGTGGTAATAAAAACCCTTAAGGACCACCGACAAAGACCGACAACTAAGTATTTAAAAAGGATCCCAAAAGACCTTTTCACACCTTCCACCAGAAATACCTAAGTCTGTACCGGCTGCTTTACCTTGGCCTGGGGGAGAGGGCGTGGTCATCCCTTAGGCTGAGAATATTCAACCAATCAGGAAAAAGACTACCGAAAGAGAGGGGGATGAAGGAAGGTGGGAAATAGAGAATTTGGACTAGACACTTCTTCTTGGGAGACAGAGGAGAACACTTGCTCTTGGGACTTCAAGCGGGGGAGTCGAGGGAGGAAGATGAAGACAGCCGGACAGAGCAGATGGACAGAATAGACGCTGAAGGAGAGCAGAGACAGGGAATCCAGACATGACAGCTAGAAACACTATGAAGGACCAGCTAAGTGGTAACAAGCATTTAGTTATACTAATGTAAATTTGTGTTGGCAACCATACATCACTAATTAATAAAATCAATACATCAAGCATTCTCCTCTAGTATGATTCTTAACTATTCATTATGTATATAGGTTTAGTTATTATTTTGTATATAGATGTTTTTGGTTTTATTTAAGCTTGTAAATATAATAGTTACTAAACCAACGTAGTACTTTTACATTCTACCTTGCATGCCACCAATTAGTAATAGAAACAAATAGTACATTTATAAACATGATACCTTTAGAAAGGAAATCCAATAAAGAGTATATGGTTCAATCTAGGATACTACAGTAGGGGGTCTGTGGTATCTAACATTTAAATACATCATTAATATATTTTAAGTTGATCGGTTCCCTTCTGGGACCGATATAAATACAAATAAATGCGGTTCCTGGAACCCCTTACTCGCCGTAGAAACGCGAGGCCAGGAACATAGCAATATGATGATAATAATAATGAAAGATTACCACACATCACGTTTTCATAGATTTTAGGAATGCATATCACAGTGTCATCAGAGAGAGGTTGTACCTGGCTATGAAAACAATAAATATTCCACTTGAATTGATCTATCTTACAGAGCTGCTGATGGCTGATGAGAATACAGTAAGAGGCATTCACATCTACAAGGGGTCTAATACAAGGAGATGGCTTATCATGCCTGCTATTTAATCTTTCACTAGAAAAGGCGATAAGGGACTCCGAAGTGCATAGAAGTGGGATGATTCTCACCAAATCAGTACAGATTCTGGCCTACGCATGTGAAATGGATATTATAGCTAGAGCACAGTGGGACTGAGAAAGGACCTTCTTCGCTGTGGAGGCGGCAGGTAATGGGTCTAAAACGACAGGTAATGGGTCTAAGTATTAACCAAGCTAAGACTAAATATATGATTACCAACTCACCAATGATTACAATTACAATTACATCTGGAGGATACACATTTGAAAACTTAAATAATTTCGTGTATCTAGGATCCTTAGTTTGTGTGTGCCTAGTCAAGAAGTGCATAGAAGAATTACTTTAGTTAATAGATTGCTATTTTGGCCTAGCTAAAATTTTCAGAAATCATCTGCTGGCTAGATCCACTAAGATCGCTCTGTACAAAACTCGTATTAGACCTATACTGACATATGGCTCTGAAACATTGGCATTATTACGAAAAGACCCCATCAGATTGCAGATTGCCGAAAGAAAAATCCTGAGAAGAATGTTTGGCCTTATAAAAGTTGAAAATCAGTATAGGATAAGGCATACTGCAAATATGTGCCAAATTTATTGGGAACCGGATGTGGTGCAATTTATTCGGCTCTCTAGGCTAAGATGGGCTGGACGCGTTGTAAGGATGGATGGAGAATCACCAATCAAGTGGCTAATGTTCGGGTATATGGATGGCAGAAGAAAGAGAGAACGACCACGACTGAGAGGGGCAGATGAGATCGATGCCGACGCAGAGAAGCTTCTGGATAAAAGAGCTTTTCACAAGACAAAGAGGAATATAGGCGACGCATTGATGCGGCAAAGACCCAGAACGGGCTGTAGTATCTGTGATGATGACGGATAATGAAAGATACCAATGCTTAGAATGACTTTTTATTTCATTTATGTGTTTAAACTTTTAGAGTTCTACCCTAAATTAGTCTTACTTTTTTTAAAATTCTTTACGCCATTGAGAGTCTCAAATCTTTAATAAACACAAGAAAATTTCGTCCACCTTATTAACTTGATAATAATCAACAAACCTGGTTCGGGATTGAGTCGTCTCCTGATGAAGCCGATGAGCCTGGAGCCGAGGGAGTGTCTGTGGTGGTGGTGGTGGTGGACCCTGTGGGCCGAGCCCTGCGGCTCCTGTTGCTGTCCCTGGGCCCCCTGCTGTTGCTGCTGCTGCTGCCCTTTACGTCGGTCTCCCCGCCCGTAGTTCTGATGGGCAACCACGCTGTACATCGCCTCGCCATCCGACGATCAGCACTTCTGGAATAACATGCATTATTAATACCTATAAGTAAAATTGGCCATTAATATCAAATGTCCGAGTTGAACAAGTATAAATAATGATAAAATAAACTTATTTTAAATAAGGCCTCGAAATACAAGACCTTTGATGTCATTTCTACCATAGATATGGTCAATAGATACCGTTCAAATAGATAAATGAAAATCGATGGCTTGCCAGACATAGTAATACATTTTAATGATTAGACAGTGGCGGCCTTAGAGCCTGGCAACTTGGGCATTATCCAGGATAGCCAGCCAGAATGGAGGTGCTTGTCATTTGAAAGGAGTAAATAAAAATTATAGAATATATGAGAATTGTGGAATTTAGTTTAAAAATAAAGCAACTGGAAAAGAGAAAAATAGAATGAACTGTCAAATGTCACTTAATATAAAACAGCTTAAGAAACAAATTAATTTTTTTTGTGAGTATCACGGCATTACTCGAGGGCGCCAAACGTCTAAGGCCGGCACTGCAATTAGACCATTTAATTCTAGCAAAAAGAATGGTTATATAAAAATGAGTGAGGAATACTAAATGTATCTTGATTGACGCGTAGTCCAAAGCCTAAAGGCTTCTGATTTTTTAATCCAATGGCATTTAATAACAGCGACGTATTAAAGAGGGATGCTTTGGGATCTTCAGAAGTCCTGCTTAGCCAACTTCGTGTGGAAAGTTAAACTTTGTTGAGGGTGTTAATGATTAGAATCAATATTGTACTTACATATAATATTTTGTTTATTCAACCTAATTACCAAAATCCGTATTCAATTTATTAGCGGTTGAGACTACTTATCTAAATTTCATTATAGGGGTTAGGTTAAATCATTTAGTTGTAGAAAGAGGGGGCGGAAATTAAAATTGTAGCTGTCTAAAATAAAATAAAATACTACTAGGTAATTACTGCATTGAAAACCCTCCAGTCGCTAAATTGAGAGATAAGGCAAGTCGGTCCTTGAGACTAGCCTGTGCTGAAGATGACTTAAAAAAATTAGATAACTATCAGGATTAAAAATCCTCGAGAGAATCGTGATTCTACGAACCTTTATAAATTACGCCAATAATAGACTAAATGATTTAACCTCCATTTAAAAATATCTAATTTTTAACCTTTCCCAGGTACGCCTCAACGTTGACAGTGACATGGGTCCGTTTTAATAAAATTACATCAATAGAACACATCGGAGAAATACCTAGGAATTCCTGAATGATTTAACTTCTTATTGTTACCATTCTCGGAAAAGAGCTGAAAATTGGATAATTAACTTATCCTTTCTATAGGTGAGAGTTATTATTGGAAATGTTTATAAATATACGCTGACTGGAAGAAAATTAAATTAAACAACCAGGAAATTATCTTTATCCCTTCAGTTTCAGCTAAACGAAATAACAGTAGAAATCAATTGTGATTAGTTTTTCGCCACTCCTCACTACCTCCTATGACTGTGATTAGATGTTTTATTTTTCTAAAACCCAAAGCTTTCCAACGGTATGTAATCTAAATATCTATTTCTACTCTTGATTCTTAAAATTTGTTTTCATCCTAGAAACGCTTGAATATTCTCTATAATCTATATTTAGCCATTTTTATTGCTTTAAACAATGATAAATGTTTATTCGTTTCAAACAAAACAAATTAAATGTACTTTGGAAGAAGTATTTTCGAAAATTTCTTCAGACTATTTCTAATCTAGGATAAAATCAAGCTAATATTGATTACCAATTAAATTATTGACTAGAATGGAACCCACATACCAATCTTAAAAGACAAGAACTTCACCCACAATTGGCCAGTTATACAGACTGATTAGCGAAAAATCCAGTCTCTCAATTCAAATCAAACTATTAATATACAAGACCATGCTGAAACCCATCTGGAACTACGGACTTCAACTGTAGGGGACAACCAATTTTTCGAACATGAAACGCATCCAAAACTTCCAGTCTACTATCCTCCCTATTAGAGTCTATGCTCCTTATCATGTTATAAACAAAACCTTGCATCGTGACCTTTACATCCTTTATGCCCTTGGCATGATTCCATCTCGATTTTGAAATTTTCACCTGAACCTAATCCACAATTCTAACTCCTTAGCACAATCCTTATCCAGCTCCAGTCATCTCTACAATCCTCCATGAAGGTTGAAACGGCAGTAGCTTCGAGATCTTTTGTAAAGACGTCACTGCAGTTCTAGCAATGGCCAGCTTCTCCACTCAAATCATGAGTATCTGTGACTTTAGTGTCCTCTCTGTCTCCCCTGGACTCTGGTGTCGGTGACGCGGCTGAGAGAGAAGCGCTGGAAACTCTTAGTCTCGCTCTGTCGTTCACGCATGAGAGAAAGGGTTGGACTCGGAGCTCCCTTGGCTGATTGTAAATATTGTAATCAAGTATGAATATTTTTCTTTTTAATCATTTTTTTATCTTATTATTTCTTTTACTTATAATTTATTTAATTTTGCTACTAATTTCTGTTTTTATTTAATTATTATATAACAAAGACAAAAAATATAATAAAACCAAATAAATGTATCTTGAAGTTCAAATTAAATAAGCTCCGAGTCCAACCCTTTCTCCCATGTGTGAAGGACAAAGCGAGACTCTAAGAGATCCCAGCGATTCTCTCTCAGCCGCGTCACCGGCATTACAGTCCAGGGGAGACTGAGAGAGGGCACCAAAGCCACAGACACTCATAACTTGAGTGGAAAAGCTGGTCACTGCCATAACTCCAGTGACGTCTTTATATATATATATATATATATATATATATATATATATATATATATATATATATTATTGTATTGTATATATGGTATGAATGTACCTTACTCAGATTTAATACTTAGTGTACTTAAGTATGACAAAATGTATTATTTCTTAATAAAAAGATCTTTAAAAAATATACATTAAATTATTAGAGCTATTTTCGATAAAATTGTTTTTTTTAAAAAGTGTAAAATCGGTGCTAAAAAGACCGATTCATAGGACTAGTTTCATTTTCATAGGACTTTTCGTTTTTGAGACAAGACTGTTCACATGTGCATACTATTTTGTGTGACTTGGTTATTCCATGGTTATATAGATGTTTTTGGTTGCTGAATTTGTAAATATAATAGTTAGTAAACCAACGTAGTACTTTTACCATCTACCTTGCATGCCACCAGTTAGATATAGAACAAATAGTAAATTTAAAAACATGATACCTTGAGAAAGGAAATCCAATAAAAATTATATGGTTCAATCTAGGATACTACCGTAGGGGGTCTGTGGTATCTTACCTTTAAATACCTAATTAATATATTTTTAAGTTGATCGGTTCCCTTCTGGGACCGATATAAATACATGTAAATACAAATAAATGCGATTCCTGGAACCCCCTACTCGCCGTAGAAACGCGAGGCCAGGAACATAGCAATATATATTTTAATTTTGTCCATTCAATTTCAGCAATATTATTAAATTCTTGTAACTATAACTTGTAACTTGTAATAATTACGAATATCCGTATATTCGTAAATAGAGAGGCATTTCAAGTTTTGGATGATCTGTTTTTGTTTCCTGAATCCAAAATATTTTATTAAAGTACGCAGCGCCGACACAAGTTGAATCATTTATCTTTTCTTTTGTACTTATAGCTGCTATTCACACAATCCGCTTAATTAAGTCGTTACAGGAGTTAATGAATAGTAACCGAATAATACTCCGCCCGACCTTTGCCTTAATGATTTATACCAACTTAATGAATGGCCTTTTATACATTTTCAATGAGCTTCCAGTCGGCTTGACCGATTGAATGGATATTGCTCTATATAATCACTTTTGAAATTGTAGTTCCTTCAAAGGAAATCACTTAACATATTTGCATGAATGATTAATTATTAAGGCGATAAGTATGATTGAACGTTTTATCTATTAACAATTCACTGATACTAAATTGCTTAATTTACTACTACTAAAATAGGCAAAACTTGGAGATAGTAACGTCGAGACCATGTTAAAGTAACGAATGTGCGATGTTATGCAGGTTAAGATTTGTTACTGTAATGTGGTGGAGGCGATAACTCCATCATATGACAAGTTAACTATTCACATGTATGTTTGAGACTCTAATATGGCTTTATAGTTTGAGTTGTTCCATTCATAAAGTCTATTTTCGAGGTTTTTGATTCTTTGAGTAGCTTTATTTGTGAAATAGTAGTGTATAGGGTATGTATGTTTTACACACCTTCGAGTCTTTTTTTGTTTTTAATATTAACTAATATCTTCTTCTTTTTTCTGTTATTAATACATTTTTGTATATAATATTTCAAATATAAGATTTTTTTCCTTTATGCTTGCTAATAAGCTGTTTTTGCCAGTGAAATGGTTGAGAAAGAAGCGCAGGGATCTCCTGAAGCCTTCATTTCCCATCACGCGTGGGGGGATAAGTATGGTTCGGAGTTGCTATGGCCGACTGTAAATAGTGTAAATAGGTATGCCTGCATCTAAGATGTTTATTTTCATTACTTTTTTTAAGATAATTTTTTTTTTTTTTGTCTATTAAATTTGTATTTGCGCCTGTCAACAATAAGTTAACAATCAGCAAATGTGATGGCGATAATGATAAAATGACATGACAGGCATGGGGAAGGAAAGTACTCAGCAGTACCTCTTCCCTAACTTGTTCCAATTACTTAGGTTGTCTAAGGAAGGAGATCCCTCATCCAACGCCTTTTTAGTCTCCTGTTCATGTTCTGAGGTATGTCAGCTGTGGCCATGTCTCTTATAAGTCTGTTATTATGTCCGTTTAAATTTGTGTAAAATCGTTGATATAGGGTCGTTATATGTTGGTCAACTGATGGAAAGTGGAGGTCAGTATGTAGAGTTTTGTTAGTCACGTACCAAGGTGCTTTTGTTATGAGTCGCAATAATTTTGATTGGAACGTTTGAAGTTTTTGTAGGTGGGTCTTTTTG